TCCGAAATTGATTTGCAGCTTTCGCCCGTCGACCTATTCAAATAACATAAATAATTCCCGCATAATTTTTCATTGATTTATCGCGACGCGTAAATATTGTGAATGACAATGTCAAACAATAGATTTCGACTCTCTGATCGTTCCTAAATTATGCATTTTCCGTTAATTGAATGTGCTCGAAAAACACACATATCTGCACAACATGCCTCTATATGCAGGTGTAATTTATTATTGTCAGTCGCTACCTTTTTTTTTGTTAAATATTATAAGTTTTAAAATCCATGTTACAGTAATGTCGAATGGGATTTGTTAACAGATTAGTTCGTAAAAGCGCCTGTATTAAATCAACATGGTACTGCACTGATGACTGATGATAAAATTAACAATCCCTTTGATAATTTCTTTTTTTATTATAGCCGTACGCTACTGGTAACTGCCCATTATCCGCCAATAAAAAAGGGATAATTTCCAATTCAATTTCCGACTTTGTTCTCGCAAATGAAATCCAAACATTTGCTCGATTCCGGCGCTCGATGAATTTTTAAAAGTGTCCGCAGGAGCATTCGAAGACCTCCGAACTTCCCCGTTAGTTTCGTTGCGTGTTTTCCTTTTGCCGGAGTTTAATTGTTCAAGAATTTCGTGCCGGAACCGCTACAAATTGTCCCAGATCAACGAATAAATCTGTTGATTTTAGCTCTGGATGATCCACATAATTTCTACGTAAAGAATAATTCCACTCTCGGGGGTACTCATTTAAAAACCGATAAATGCAGACTTTTATAGAGAAATTCCTCGGGTATTTTTTCCGCCGAGCTAATTCGAAGTATTTAGCAATTTACCTGGATATAAACATGTTCAGTTGTCAGGATTCCGTGTCGTGGTATCCGCTCGACCGATAAATCAGTTAACTCTTTCGCCCGATCCGGGCTTGCTTGTACGTAAACTCGAAGCTCTAGTTGCGCTGCCGGTCGCTTTATCTCGAGCAATACATTTTTTTTTATGTTTCCCCAATCAGATCGCATTGAGGTATTTACAGCCGGCCTGTGCAAGTACTTATACTTTATTGACCGCGTTGCACGATGTCGAAGAGGAATTAAAAACAATTCCAGCACGTAAAAAGTAGCGCGATGAATACGTTTTGCATTGTAGAGTATTAGAAGAGAGTAGTAGAGAGGAATCATCGAAATTTGGCGTAAATCAACAATGGCGAGATGAGCGAGAGACGGTGTAAATTATTTTCGTAATTGATTGTTCATGTATGAAACGAAGCCCCGAATGGAATATGAATTCGCGAGAACACAACGCGTTCCACATCCTGTCGAGCTGCAGCTGCCGGACCAAACGCGATTGTGAATTTTCCTCCAGCCGAGCTTTCCCCTGGTTTTTCATAATGGCAAAAAGGAACGGTCGCTCGCTGTAAATACGCACCGATGCTCCCTAAAAATCGAATGTAAAGCTGTACGGGCGAGTGACTGAATACCTGAATGCCGTACATAAACCGCGGGAAAAGTATTATCCTACAAGATAAATAAATTGAGTAATTCCATCGATCGCCGTCGTTGCTTCTAAGAGGTTTTCCACCCCAGAAACGAGCGAACAACATGTCGCCGGCAAAACTCGAAACTACCAATTCCGGGGCGCCCCCTCGGCGAAAGTCTCGGTTTGATTTGCATTCCACTTATACAAGTTGTATGTATATCTATCACAATTCCACTTCTGATTTTAGGCAAACATCTCTTCTTCCCTCGCGCTTTTCGAGGGCACTTTTTCAATCGGAATTCGAGCGACAATTCGGCGTAAAAGGAACCCCCAAGATGGAAAAATCCGATAGTGTAAGTGACAGTTAAAATAATTCATTAAGGGGGTACCTGGAGGAATTCCTCCGGGCAAAAATTCGCCGTTAAGTGAAACTCATGCGTGGAATATTTACGTGTACGGCGATGCACAGCGGCAGAAACGCGCGGTTAATCGACATAATCAAGATGGTAGATTCATCTGTGACTACATATCATTAAGAAGAGGGCCCTTACGACATGATTCCCTTAATTACCTTAATTTATATTAAGAGATCGCTTACCCAGATACCAACTTGTGCGAGTCGGGCGAGTCTTTAACATATACATATACGTCGCGACGTTGCCGCGTCTATTGAACCGCCCGAAGTAGCGGATCCGGGGAAGTTCGTTTAAATTGGAATCTTTATTGTTGCGGCTCCGCATTTTCCACAACGTGCCGGTTTGGATTTTTTTTCGGTAGCGCCAGCCCGAAGTCGTAAAATAATTGAACAATCCCGGTTACCATTAGTCACGATTCGCGGATAAACTTGTAGTTTATTACCGGAGGGTATCAATTGTACCACAGAAGCCGGGCCGGTTGGTCGATTGGCGATTTGAAGAAGTAACAGAATTATAAACCGTTCTGCCTTTCTGTGGATTTATGGTTGGAGGGTATATATGCACACGCAGGAATGCTCGACGGGATGGAATGCGAGGCGTTTTTTTTTTCGCCGGCTGTTACATGAACTTTAATTTTTGTTAACAAAAAAATGTGATAATAAATCTACTCTTCTTGCAGGCCGGATTTTTGAACGCGCGTTATAGAATTTCTAACATTCGGGCAAGTGAAATAAAACTACCAATGCAGTGTACCAATACTGCAATGCAGTACTAAAGTAATTTATAAAGCGAGTTATAATTGCTTTAAATTTACAAAAGATGTCCTGTAACCTGCAAACTTCAATGATATATACTATGTTTGATATGCAGAAAAAAGGCATAAATATGCTTTAAAAACATTTTGAAAAATCTTCAAAACTGCTTGAAAATCACTCTAAAACAACCTTCTATAAGACGTCCTCGCGAAAACCATTCTAAAATTGCTTCAAATTCGCTCTAAAACAACTCTAAATCCGGTTCAAAACCACTGCAAAAGTGCTCTAAAATCTCTTCAAATCTGCTATAAAACCGCTTTTAAACCAAAGTAACGAAGTAATATTTAAAAAGTAACTTTTTATCAAAGCTTTAATTCTGAGATGTGAATTCAATTGCTCCAAATTCGCTCTAAAACAACTCTAAATCCGGTTCAAAACCACTGCAAAAGTGCTCTAAAATCTCTTCAAATCTGCTATAAAACCGCTTTTAAACCAAAGTAACGAAGTAATTTTTAAAAAGTAACTTTTTATCAAAGCTTTAATTCTGAGATGTGAATTCAATTGCTCCAAATTCGCTCGAAAACAACTCTAAATCTGGTTCAAAACCACTGCAAAAGTGCTCTAAAATCTCTTCAAATCTGCTATAAACCGCTTCTAAACCAAAGTAACGAAGTCATTTTTAAAAAGTAACTTTTTATCAAAGCTTTAATTCTGAGATGTGCATTCAATTGCTCCAAATTCGCTCTAAAACAACTCTAAATCCGGTTCAAAACCACTGCAAAAGTGCTCTAAAATCTCTTCAAATCTGCTATAAAACCGCTTTTAAACCAAGTAACGAAGTAATTTTTAAAAAAGCCACTTTTTATCAAAGCTTGAATTCTGAGATGTGCATTCATAATCAATTAAATGAACATCGCAAAGTTTATTTCTCCCGTCGCAATATTAAACTTTTCCACGATTATTTATTTAACTTGTATACAATTACACAAAGCTACTTATAAAGCGAATTCTCTTCGTTCACACAGATAAGCATTATTGAAGGTGTCATCAAAACACTCCCAGTAATATACAAAAATCGATATAAATCGATATTTCGTTACACTTTTATTTATCTCACTCGAAAATTTGGGTTAATCGACCATTTCAAATCGATATTTATTTAACGACAAAACTCTATATACCACATTAATGGTGTATTACACAATTTTATTACGTTTAATCATCTCTTATTGGTATTATATTACATTGAGTTAAACGATTGTATTATTCACATTTGCTACACATACACACACATACGTATTTATGTTTATCTCCAAATGCATTTTTGAAAAAAAAAAATGCATAACAAGTACACGACCCGCCCGGTTGATGTGCCGTGTCACAGTATCGTTACAGATTAACTTCGCAAACTGACATTGTGTCCGTACATAAAGTGGGTGTGACGGCGCCCATGTCTGTCCTGCGACTCCCATATAACCCAGATTTATGGGTTAATCCGTCGCGACAATATAGAAAGGGCCCTCGTACGCGTCCACCCCCGTGCCGATTCCGATTTGCGACCGTATCGCCATGGCGGGCACGTCCCGTGGGACGATTAGACGGGATATGAAAATTCATTAGGCCGGATCCGGTGTACCCGTAAATTATAAATCTCAAGGATATTCGACCGGCGGATTTGTTTATGCAATTAGTCGGGACGGGCGAGCCGACTGCGCCATGTTTGTCAATTAACATCGAATATTGCGACGCGGCAAAAAAAAGTCAATTTCGTAAGTTAATTCTGCTAGTTTTAACAACTGATTTAATTCGGTGGAAATTTGCGTATCATTCGCATCGGGACATCATCGAAATCGAATAATCCAATAGCGTGCGGAATGAAAACAGTTAAAACATGCCGGATTATACGCGTTCGCCATGTGGCGGGTTTTACCCCTACGGCCAGAAAACGCCATTAATACGCAAAAAAGGCCCTAAAATCCCGGTTTAAATGATGTAATAACTATCCATAAAAATCGAATTTTTTAATATCTTCGTTAAGTACAGGACAGGCTTTTTTTCGTCACACGCCTCTTCGAACATTAAATAATATTAAATTCCCGTAAAATCCTGCAGGAGATTTCGTCACGTAAGGGGGTGTTAAAACTTCGATGCTTAAATTATATTAGGAAACTTCCTTAAAACGATTATAAAGTTTCGTATGTAATACCTGGAAAGAAACCGGCACGAAGTCGAGTTGTAATTTGCAATATTGGAAAAGTTCTCATTTTGATGCAAGAGCGCGATTGTACACGGTGCAAAATAAGGAATCGGAATTTAATTCGATTTCCATTATATCGTAAAAAAATCTTACCTTGATTGCAGAGCACCCCGACGTCGACGAGCGCCGTCGAGACGACGAGGACGACGGTCAAGCGGAGGCGCCACTTCATGATATCGGCCTGTCAATATCGAAACTACCCTTGCGTAGCTACCCTTGCTAGATACCGGGGGTCCTCTCCTGCGGTACGTCACATCTTTGAATGACAAGCGGTCGAGGGTCCTCTGTCGATTGTCTGCAACACGAACGATTTCGATTTAATGAGACAATTCCTGCGACATCTCTCCGGAAAATTAGATAACGAAAACGAAGAAAAAAGAGATAAAAATGCTTAACGTTCTTTGGTAGTTACGTAAACTCTTGTGGGATTATCAGTCATCGTTTGGAGCCTGCCGGACCACATGCTGTTGTAATCCGACGTGTCATCCATTTTTATGGGGCCCTCTCGAGCCCCGGATTGTCCCGATCAATCATAGTCACAAGAGAATCAACCAAAAACGTACACGTGTAATGTCCTCTTATAACTTTTGTCACATGCAACATTAAAGACTATTTACTGCAAATTTGCGTTGTTGCCAGATTTACCAAAAAATCCCTACATGCTCTTTTTTAAGCCCCAAATCATCTCGATCAATCTTATTATAGATAGTCATCACACGAGAATCAACCAAAAAAGTACACCTAATTTTCCCTCCGCTTGGAAACATTAAAGACTGTTAACTTTAAATTTGCGTTGTTGCCAGATTTACCAAAAAGATCCCTAGATGCCCCCTTTTTTTAACCCCAAATTGTCTCGATCAATCTTATTAGATAGTCATCACACGAGAATCAACCAGAAAAGTACATCTAATTTTCCCTCCGTGTAGAAACATTAAACACTATAAACTTTAAATTTGCGTTGTTGCCAGATTTACCAAAAAAATCCCTAGATGCCCCCTTGTTTTAACCCCAAATCGTCTCGATCAATTTTATTATAGATAGTCATCACACGAGAATCAACCAGAAAAGTACACCTAACTTTCCCTCCGTGTGGAAACATTAAAGACTATTAACTTTAAATTTGCCTTGTTGCCAGATTTACCAAAAAATCCCTAGATGCCCCCTTTTTTTAACCCCAAATCGTCTCGATCAATCTTATTAGATAGTCATCACACGAGAATCAACCAGAAAAGTACACCTAACTTTTCCTCCGAGTGGAAACATTAAACACTATTAACTTTACATTTGAGTTGTTGCCAGATTTACCAAAAAAATCCCTAGATGCCCCCTTGTTTTAACCTCAAATCGTCTCGATCAATTTTATTAGATAGTCATCACACGAGAATCAACCAGAAAAGTACACCTAACTTTCCCTCCGTGTGGAAACATTAAACACTATTAACTTTAAATTTGCGTTGTTGCCAGATTTACCAAAAAAATCCCTAGATGCCCCCTTTTTTTAACCCCAAATCGTCTCATCAATCTTATTAGATAGTCATCACAATAGAATCAACCAGAAAAGTACACCTAACTTTCCCTCCGTGTGGAAACATTAAACACTGTTAACTTTAAATTTGCGTTGTTGCCAGATTTACCAAAAAAATCCCTAGATGCCCCCTTTTTTTAAACCCCAAATCGTCTCGATCAATCTTATTAGATAGTCATCACAATAGAATCAACCAGAAAAGTACACCTAACTTTCCCTCCGTGTGGAAACATTAAACACTATTAACTTTAAATTTGCGTTGTTGCCGGATTAGGCGAAAAATCCGGTAGATCCCCCAGCGCGCTGTTTACTCGGAACATGTCGATGGCGTTCATTGTATTTACGAGCATTGTTATTTCTTCGCTCTCGACGAAACGGCACGACGAATGGAGAAAAAAAAAACATAGAAAGCCGGCGAAAAGCTAAAACTCTTTTCAGCGAGAGCATTGTGCGAGCTCGCGTATTTAAAGTTAAATAAATCAGTCGAAGTGCTTTTGTGAGTCGAATGGGTTCTTAATTATTATTCTGAATTATCGTGGTCAGCGTGCGGACTTTAATGGCCGTATAAACTCGTCGGAAAAGTCCGTCTGAGTGGTTTCGTGTAATTACCTGCAACGTAAGAGGTCGCTTTGAATATATTTGTTTAGAAAATTCGTTTGTTGTGTATTACCGAACTTTTTTTTAATATATCTTCCTGTAACTGGTAGATAAGTTTTAGCTATTTTAACCGCATATCTGCTATTTGTGGGTATCCCAGACTGATTTATGTCTGAGGAAAAACGTCTTCCGTCGAAAACAACGCGTTCGGTCGTTTTCTAATACTAAATTCAAAAGCTACAAATTTATTTTCACCGATAAAACAATGTAACAAGAACTTAAAACAGTAAACATAAAAATGATATATGCACGTATACGATTCGGGTACACATATTCACAGAAAATGACAGACCACGTTTACACGAGACAAGATTAACATTGCAGAGAAAAATTGTTGTTTTGCATCCTCTGCTCGAATATCGGTAGTTGAAATGCAGGTAAACGTAGTTCGGGTACTACCTACAATCGACATTTCGTAGGTCTACAGTCGTTATCCTTATCTCCTTACACGATATTATCACCGTACACGCTATGTGGGTACGTTTATGAAGCCATATAGACTTGGGAAATCGATCGATGAGGTTTACAGATTTTTTTTAAATATTTAAATTTATTTCTTGAAGGAACGGGCCTTTTGCACTAAAGTTTACAAATTTAATCCGGTTGCTCAACATATAAACATTTTGCATAAATGATTTCATGAATGATATTTATGTGTTGATCTATTCGTTTATTATCTGGAATATTGGTAAATACAAACAAAACCTTGAATTTTCAATACGTTTAGATATATATTTGTAAATTAGGCAATATTTGATACATGCCCGGGTAGCTCAGTCGGTAGAGCATTGGACTTTTAATCCAAGGGTCCAGGGTTCAAGTCCCTGCTCGGGCGATTCTTTTTTTTCTCATTTTACACCAAAAATTTCTTTAACTAGAATTTACCAATGCGATTATAAACACGCTGTATCCAATCATCTCACAAACCTATTGTTTGATGATTAAACTCACACACCTATAATCGCTTTATGTGATAAATAATGTAAAACATATCAAAAACAAAATTTACAGAATGAAAACTTCATTGTCTAAAGGTCTTAACAGAGTTAAGTGACAGCTCTTCGATTCAAACAAATAAATCCAAGATTTAAGTACAATGGTCGTATACAGAGTGGAAAAAAGCGAAATAAAGCGATCAATCAGTGAGTCAGTGAGTCAGTAGATGGAAAATTTAGTACAATACTTCCATACCGAGTGGAAAATGGAAAATATTTCGATAAACAGTGTGTATTAGTGCGATCAATCAGTGAGTCAGCGAGTCGCCCTTACAAATTTATATAAAACGGCCGATTAGGGAAGCGAATTTTTCGAATAGTGCACTCGACTCCCGTGATTAATTCGACCGGCTAAAGACGTCAAGACCTCCGAGGGCATCGGAGGCGCGGGCGTGTCATTTCCAAATGAAAATTGATATGGTCGCTTTCGCCTTTCGGTAGTGGCTCCGGTAACGGCGTGTTGTTTTCGTAAAGCGATACGCGCTCTTCGCCATAGGTGGTTTCCCGGCGATCTCGCGCCTTTCGAGGTTATCTCGGGATTACGACTTTTTTCGATAAAGTCACTCACCCTGGCGACGGGCGCTGCGTGAAAAAATCATCAATCAAAACGCTGATAAAATCACAATAATAGTGATTAATGTAAACAAAACCGACGAATGTAATCCCTTCGAGCAAGCTTATCGGGCTATATTAAAAAAAATGTGTATATAATATAAATTATTGGGTGCATGTTTGGAGTATTTCCAACTAAATGTACCCGTTGACAAATTGGGAAATATTCGAACACGTGCTTTTTTGTTTGCATATAAAAAAACTCATATAAATCATTGACATATACCTTTATGACATTGACAGAATTCGAAACGCCTTTGGCTCAAACGGCGTTTAGAGACCCGTAAATAACAGTAATATAAACTATCTACCTGAAATAACTATAACGTTTAGACATTAGTCTTGTTGTTTATCTTCCTTTGAAACAGTTTGAAGTGCAATAAAGTGAAAAAAAGACGAAGCGAAGAAACATTAAAAAGCACTTAACACTTACGACCGACTAAAAGGTTTCATTTGGGAAGTTCGGACTCATTTTTATATATACGTTTGTACGGAAATGTGCGGGGCGGGCCCGAAACATGTGTTCCCGAAGAAATTTTTGGGCTATACCATCTATCAGCTCTTATAACCTAAAGATTTCATATTCGGTTTGAGCATGTGGTAATCGGTTGAAGGAGGTCTCCTCATTTTGTCGCTGAAGTGTCAACTGCACTCAGCCAGTTAAGATATTGTACAGGATTTTATCGAATGCAGATAATAATAAATTTATTTAATAATTACATCGGTTATCTATGAATAAATCTAATAAAAGAAATCGTACATTTAATGACTGCAATATCCTTTATAGATAAACGATTATAGTATTTTATTACTTAGTATAAAACTCGACACCTGCATATTAAATTGCTAGGTAAGTAATAACGCTCCGTACATAGACTAAACATATAATGCAACTTTTTTTTTTCGGTAGTACAAAAATTGTTTCTAGTAAACAGATCCGTTTACTTGTATCATATTTATCTACTAATTGTGTGCAATCGTTGGCATTTCCTTTGGCGATTGCATGCAAAAAAAATCGACGAGGCTCGTGCCAATAGAACGGTTTCATATCGCTCGAATGGTACCTTTTCTAATGATCCTAAACAAAACTAATCGGCCACTGGTGTAGTCCGCTAAGTGACAAACATGTTTACTTTCCAATATAAATTTCCTCTTCCTATAACTATTTTTATCCGGCTATTCGTAACCGACGTCTAATGATTACGAGTAGATTAGAACGTGGATTTTTGAGGAGAAATATATCTTTTTGTGTAGCAGCACCGCACCTGTCGAATAAATTGTTAACAACGCCGAGCACGCGAGCGAAAAACCGGGGAATTTAATTGATAAATAGAAAAGCAGACGGTGAACGCTGTAACCTTTTGGTATGCAAATAACCCATTTAAATCTCGCTACATCCCACTTTGCTTCCAACATGTAAATATTCCGGCGTTTTGCATAATTCGCAGTCGTTGTTCCATTTCCTCGATACATCTTCCACCGGCTATGCATATATATTTTTTTAAT